AAATGACTGAGAATGTACCAAGTCCACGGCCTGATGCTGTACATTATCATAACTTCTATGCCAGAGGACTGCAGACAAGGTGAATTCATTTTAGTCGCCCTGACAATACCATCAAGGTTCGAAAATGAGGTCAAACCACTTTTATTCACCATTTGTCAGACCCGTAGTCACTTTAAGTGTATTTTGTCGACAGAGTAATTTGTTAAGAATTGCTGAAACGGCTTCGTTCGAAAATGTTTTCGTCTTCTTCCCCGGGACCGGAAGGCAGTGGAACTTGGTCTTGTCGACGTTGTTCAAATCGCAATTCTTCTCTCGCATCGTCATGACGGCTTCTGCCTGACCCGGCCAGATCGGAAGCGATTGTAGACTCGGACCTGGGTCCACATGAAAGAGGAGGCAGCGAAATTGCTCTTTCGCTCTCTCGCTCTCTCTCACGCGCACGCATACACATGAATGAAGATAGACACAATCGCGCTGCAAACAGTCCGCCACTGCTCAACTCGATATCGAGACGCTCCTCGTTTCCGGCGCTTGGAGTCAATCCAAATGGTTGGCGCTTGAATGTTGAGTCTATCCGGAGACTCGGAGGCAAGCAAGAGGAGAAAAAAGTGGACCAGCCAAGAGGATACCGAGGAGGGCAGTTTTGGTGTTAGCTCGCCTGTGTCTAGCCTCGGGCGGGACTCGAACCCGGTATCGGACTGAGTGCGGACGAGGCCACGAAACGGTCGCCGAGAACCGGACTCGGCCCTTACCGACTGAGGCCGGGCTTGTCCCACCACGGGCCCAAGCTCCGGCGACGAGGCGTAGAGCAAAAGCAGGCAGAGGGAAAAGTCGGCGCATCAAAGATGTTGTAATTGCACAAAACGGTTGACACGACAACCGTGAAGATGAGACAACAAATGGAAGCACAGGCTTGTCCGAATTGTTATGGCTTTCCCAACCCCTTACCCAATCTCACGGAACATAGCGAAGTATTTTGTGTGCGCCTCTTCCCGGAGTCAGGCATGTGTTGTGCGTATAGAAGGGTATGTGTGTGTGTGTGTGTGTGTGTGTGTTTTATTTATTTGGAAAACACACGTGTCGAGGCAATAGAGGTGTGAATTGGTTTCATCGCGTTAGCCTGTTTGTAGACTCCGTGTTCGGCGGGCATTTGTGCAAAAGCAACAAAGATGTGAATTTGCGTGTTGTGTGTGTTACGTGTTTGGTAGGCACAAATGTCGAAGCCATAAACGTGTCAACTGTTTGCCATCGTGTGTGTCCGTGAGTGTGTTTTGGCACGAGTGTGGAGAAAGTAAACGTGTCAATCGAGACACATTCGTGCTGGAGTGTCGCCGTGTGTGCTGGTATGACTGACCGGAGGCTGTGATTGGTCAGCCTCGTCTGGAGCCCGGTCAGGGCAGTCGGAAGAGACCCTTGACGAGGCAGACCTGGACGGCGGAGATGAGGAGGATGAGTGTGATACAGACGAGACTGGCCTTGTCGACGTTAATGTGCTCCCAGTTCAGGTGCATTTGGTCCTCGCTGCTGCTCCAGCGAAGGTGCGACGAGTGCAGCTGCATCTCCATCAGGTGGAAGAAGAGCCGGGCCACCGACTCGCCAACCCGATCCACCGCCGGCGCCCCGCTCTGCACCGCGGCTGTCGTCGCCTCCACTCGCCCCGACCAATTCGACAGGTTCCCGAGCCCGAGCTCCAGCCCCAGCCCGAGGGGAGAGTAGAGCAGAAGACGCACGAGCCGCCGCCTCACGTGACCCGGTTTCCGGGCCAAGTGGAAACCGTATTCGCCCGCCTTGTGCGCCATCACATTGTACCGCAGCCAGCCGCCAGTCGCCCATTTCTGTCGCACCGACGAGTACACCGCCTCTTCTCCGGGCGCCATGACGACCAGCTCGATATCGTCGAGCCTCCGACCGGCATTGGCGTGGTCCTGGGACGGCGGGTTGCGCACCACCACAGCCAGGCTGTACGTGAGGCCGGGACAGAGCGTCTCGTAAAGACTAAACTCTTGGCCCGAGTCGAGGTGGAACATGAGACTGTGCGGTTGTATGTCGTTGAAACAGACGGATGGAGGCGCCGTTTCATTCTCGGCCGACCGGGTCGCCGAGACCAGAGACGTGACGACGACGACGACGACAACGACGACGCGGAGAAGGAGGTGCCTCAAGATGGCCGGCTGCATGCTGGCGAGCCGTGGGTCCGGGAGGATCGGCAGTGGCGAAGAGAAGCCGGCAGAACTGACCAATCGTAGAGGCGGACCCGACAAGCCGAGCAGCCAGACACCGCGACAGGAAGGACCAATGAGAACCGGCCACCGGACCCACTTCAATCGACCCCTTCCGGCACAGCCCATAACACCCAAGAAATGGTCGGCTGATCGGCCTAGGCAAGATAGTCCGCCCAGTTGGACATGGCATGTATGTCCTGGAGGCCGGAGCTCGTCACCGCAAGACGGGCCACGCCCCAATTCGGCCAATCTTTTGAGGCAAGAGAGCGCCGGGCCCCCCCCCTGCACGCACATACACACACATCTATATATATATATATATATATACACATACATTCAGACATAGACATGCTGGGCAATCGCTCATCCTGACTCAAACTGAGGCGGCCAATCATGTTTTTAGCCAATCAGTGAACCGATCCCAGTCCGCCAACTGACCAACCTGGATTGAGACCAATTCGACTGTGCAATCATCGACCAATCAAAGGCTGACATTCACACCGCGCAAAGGTAATGAGCACCACAAAAACCTCGAGAAATCGATTTGCCTCCCATCGCGTTTAGCCTAGCCTAGGCTGACCTATACTTTTACTCAAGTTTATCTGAGAGTCGC